GTGTGCAGGAGAATGCAGTTGTCTGTGGAGGCTACAGATGTCAGAGCCCCTGGCAGCTGGAGTTATAGATGTTGTGAGCTGGCTGATGTGGGTGCTGGGGACTGATTTTAGATGCTCAGCAAATGCCATCTCTACAGCCCCTAATTTTTTTTTTTCCGAGACAGGGTTTCTCTGTGGCTTTGGAGGTTGTCCTTGAACTAGCTCTTGTAGACCAGGCTGGTCTCGAACTCACAGAAATCTATCTGCCTCTGCCTCCTGTAGTCCTGATGATTATAGGTGTGCTCCACCACTGCCCTGTAGCCCCTAATATTTTATTTTAGTTTTTTTTCCACATAGGGTCTTGGTATATAGACCAGTCTAGCCTGGAATTTGCTATGTAGCTCAAGCTGGTCTTGGCAACTCAAGCAGTCATCCTACTTCAGCTTCCCAAGTGATGAAATTACAGGCAAGAGTCACTAAGCTGGGCAACAAAGTCTGCTTTAAAGACTTACTTTGTTTTTGAGACTCAATGTATGATTACTTATTTGCTACCCTTAAAGACTTATCAAAGTCTGTTTTAAATGTGTTATGTTGGCAGCTTCATGAATAGACTGAAGTTAGGGCCAATGGTGGACCAGTAAACAAAAGGATGTTGTAACAGTGAGTGAGGGGAAGTTGCCACCTAGGCTAAGAAAAGTATGCAGGGGAAAGAGCTAGCTTTCCACAGGCTCAGGGAGATTGGTGTCTCTGTTTATTCTGTTGCTGGGCTGCTTTTTTCCAGTCTGCAATCTTAGTAAACAACACGGCCAGCTGAATTAAGGGCTGTGTGAGATGAGGGTGAGCACCAGGCTAGGCTTTGGGACAAGTATTCAATGGGGGCTGGTGTAGAAGGGCAACAATTGTGCAGTGGCTTCCAGTTCTTTGTGATTTTAATTTTTGTTATTGCTGTTGTTTTGTTTTTTGGGAGACAGGGTTTCTCTGTGTAACTTTGACAATCCTTGAGCTTGCTCCAGGCTGGCTTCAAACTCACAGAGATCCACCTGCCTCTGCCTCCACAGAGCTGGGGTTAAAGGCATGCACCACCACTACACAGAGAAACCCTATCTTGGAAAAACAAAAACAACAAAAAAAAGTAAAACAAAACAAAAAAATTGGGAAACAAACTATTATTAAAGTTTGGCACATTTGCTCATGCCTGTAGTTCTAGCTACTTGGTGACTGAGGCAGGAGGATTGCTTGAGCCTAATAGTTCAAGTACACCCTGCACAATATGTATATGGAGGTTTTGTTTGCATGCATGCCTATGCATCATGTGTATCCTCAGAGGCCAGAAGAGGACTTTAGATGCCTTGGGACTGGAGTTACAGTTATAAGCCACAGTGTAGATGCTGGAAACAAAACTGAGTCCTCTGGAAGAGCATTGAGCCATCTCTCCAGTCTCCCCAGTCCTAACTCTGAGACTCTGAGACAGTGTCTATGTTGTCCCGATAACTTGGAAGTCACTGTGTAGATTAGGCTGGCCTGGAACTCACAGAAATCTGCCTGTCTCTACTTACCTAGTGGGATTAAAGATGTGCACCACAATACCCAGCCACCACATAGTCTTTTTTGTTTTTTTTGAGATGAGGTTTCTCTGTATAAACTTGGCTGTCCTGGAACTTGCTCTGTAAATCAGGCTGTACTCCAACCCAGAGATCTGCCTGCCTTTACCTCGAGAGCTGGAATTAGAGGCATGTGTCACCACAGAAAGCCGCACATAGTCTTAAGAGTAACACAAAGTAGCATTGGGAGTCCCCTTAAACTAATAGGAATATAGAAAAAACATGGGGGACAGTTTTAAGTGCTGGGGCATGATTTGGAACTAGTAGGCTTGGCCTAAGATGAGTCTTGCTTTTTATTCTTCAACTCTTCCTTTTGTGGTATGGGAAGGCGATGTGTCACAGTATTGTGGGAACTTGGGAGCAAAACCTGTAATCATTTACCGTAGAATAAGCTTTAATTCCTGACTCTAATGCTAAGAATGCTGGTGAGCTGGGGCTCCCTAGGGCTGAGGCTGTTAGATTACCACATGGCCATAGTGGAAGTAGCAGGGAGGGAAAGTACTAGAACATGGATTGTTCCTTGCACTTTGCCACCTGTGTGAAAGAGGAGGCACAGTTTTCAGAATTTCAAGATGGGCCAAGAGGGAATCTCCCCCAATCTAAATGGTTGTGGATATGGGGCTTAGGGAAGGGGTCTCTGCCTAGGGATAGAACTAAACATACATATGCTTTCTTCCCTGGGAAGGGTGGTCTGTCATCTCCTGCCTTCACAAACTCTGCTCTCTGCAGCTACAATCAATTTAATGAACAATTGTTTTTTGGTTCCAGGGAACAGATAGATACCTTGGAGCTGTTTAACATGACCCTTCTCCAACTTCATTCTCAGTTTATTCTCTCTTCTCCCAGGTAACAGCAGCATTTTCCCACTTGGCCTCCTCCAAACTTCTCACCTTCACTTGGTTTCAAAAGAATGGGAATTTGGGCCGGGCGTTGGTGTCGCACACCTTTAATCCCAGCACTCGGGAGGCAGAGGCAGGCGCATCTCTGTGAGTTCCAGGACTACCAAGCGAGTTCCAGGACAGCCCCCAAAGCCACAGAGAAACCCTGTCTCGGAAAAAAAAAAAAGAATGGGAATTTGGGGTTTAGGATTAGGGCCTGGAGGAGGGGCTGCAGGTGCTATGTCAGGCTACAAGAAGCTACTGAAGCAGCACAAGGAGCAGGCCAAGCAGCCAGATGAGTTTGTAAAAGCTGACCCTGGATTGTGTTTTCCTGTGTCTTTTCCCCCACTTTTTTTTTTTAAATCAACAGGGCCTCACTATGTTACCACAGCTGTTATGCAACTCCCTATGAAGACCAGGCTGACCTCACAGAGGTTTACCTGCCTCTGTTTCTCAAGTAGTGGGCTTAAAGGTGCACACCATCATGCCTGCCTGGCTCCTTTTGGTTTATAAATATATATATATATATATATTTTTTTTTTTGGTTTTTATGAGACAGGGTTTCTCTGTATTGTTTTGGAGGCTGTCGGTCCAGCCCTGCCTCGAACTCACAGAGATCCGCCTGCCTCTGCCTCCCGAGTGCTGGGACCAAAGGCATGAGCCACCACTGCCCGGCTTATAAGTAATTTTTAAATTACATTTATTCATTGTATATATGCGTGAGTGCCAGGGCATGTGTGTGGAGGTTAGAGGACAACCTGTGTGAGGTGAGTCATCTTTCAGCTTGTGGGATGCGATGCAGGGACAAGCATCAGTTGTCAGACTGGGTAGCAAGTGCCTTTTCTGCAGAGCCATCTTACAGATGACTCTTGACTTTGAGTGTGATGGACTGTAGGTTCGTTGGTTCCTACCTGGCACAAGTGCTGTGTAAGCGTCCGTAGGCTTTTTCAATACATTCTTTTTAGTAGGGTCTCCAACTCCAATGGCTTCCTTTCTTTTTCATTTTTTTTTTCCCCAGACAGGGTTTCTCTGTGTAGCCTGTGGTAGAGTGGCCTTGAACTCACAGAGAACCTCCAGTCTCTGCCTCCTGAGTGCTGGGATTAATACACCACCACCCAGCTTCAGACTTCCTTTTTTTAAGGACACTAATTCTATTTAAAAGAGATTTGATCACAATCAGCCTATAATCAAGGAGACTCAGTATGAATTTGGACTGTCTAGAGCAGTGTTTCTCAACCTGAGGACCATGACCCCGGGGGTGGGATGGGGCGTAGAACAACTCTTTCACAGGGGTTGCCCGTGAAAAACAGATTATCTACACATGAACACATGGGTTTTGTGCATCTAAGGCAAGCATATTATCAAATGAGCTGTATCTCCTCTCACTTTTGAGAGACAATGTTTCAGGTAGCTAAGGCTGGTTTTGAGCTCCTGATTCTTCTGTCTTCAAGTGCTAGGATCACAGGTGTGCACAATGCCTGACTCTAGAGCCACTTTCTTAAAATTTCAAAAAAGTTTGATGTGTATGGGTGTTTTGTCTGTATATATGTTTGTGTACCATATACATACCTGGTGCCCAACGAGGCTCAAGTAGGTGTTAGATCTGGAGTTACAGACAGTTGTGAACCACCATGTGGGTACTGGCAACTAAACCTGGATCCTCTGGAAGAGCAGATTAAATACTCCTGCCCTATGAGCCATCTCTTTAGCCCTCTTTCTTGAAAAAAAATTATGGGCTGGGAAGGTGGCTTAGCAGGTCAAGATTAAGTCTATGAGCCCTTGCAACCACATAAATGTCAAAGGAGAACTAAGTCCACGAAGTGGTCATCTAAACTTCCCCTCCCACATAATATATACACTCCAATACGATATTTATTTGTGTAGGTGCTCATGTACTTCACAGGTTTTACATCCTTTTCCCATGTGCTTATCAAATTGGTTCCATTTGTTGTTCCTATTTTTTTTTTTTTTTTGGTTTTACGAGACAGGGTTTCTCTGTATTGTTTTGGAGGCTGTTAGTCCAGCCTGGCCTCGAACTCACAAGAGATCCGCCTGCCTCTGCCTCCCGAGTGCTGGGATTAAAGGCATGTGCCACCACCGCCCAGCTGTTGTTCCTATTTTACCCAGGAAAATAAATGAAGGTTTGAGAAACAAAGAGGACATGGTTACGATTACAGCTACTTATCACAAAGCTGGGTGATTTTATCAGCATGTCCTCTAAACTACATATTCAGAAAAAGGGGAAAGGTCATCTCCGAAGACCCATCCACTTTGGAATTTGCAATTCTATGATTTCCTAATTTGTGCTCTGTAAAGACTTTGTTTACAAATTGTTTTAAGAGTTCAGGAAGATACAGGAAAAAAAGAAAAACCAAACCAAATCGTCTACAGAGCTATTTCCAAGATAGCCAGGGCTACACAGAGAAACCTTGTCTTAAAAACAAACAACCCCCCAAAACCTAAAGCCCCCAAACAAACAAGCATAAATATTGATTTTGGTTACTTAGCTTTTCTGGTTTAAGAGTACATAAATGCACTTAAGTAGGACAGGGAGGTTTTTTTATTGGTAGATTTTATTTTTTATGTGTATAGATGCTTGTTGTGCCTATATATATGTGTGTATACCAGTGCGTATCTGTCGAGACCCTACAAGAGGGTGTTGGATTCTCCAGAACTGGAGTTATGAATTCTGGGAATAGAACCCAATGCTCTGGAAAAGTAGCCAGTGCTCTTAACTGATGAGTCATCTCTCCAGTCTCCAAAGGATTTATTCGATGTGTATTTTGTATGTGTGAATCCCCTCCATCTTTGACTACCTGATATTTTATTTTCTGAAACAGGGTCTCACTGTGTAGCCCTAGTTTGCCTGCCTCTGTCTCCTGAGTGCTGGGATTAAAAGGCATACACCACCAGACTGCTCTTGAACTCGAAATGTACCCAACAATGCACTCCGGATCCTACTGCTTCAGTCACTGCAGCGCTGGGATAATATCCTGTGCTTTGGATTTTTAGCTCGTTTGCAAACCAAATCTACTACACAAACCATTATTAAACATTTTCGCGTTCTGTAAACAGTAAGGCATGTGACTTTGAGACTTTGCAGCCTGAGATTCGTCTTCTTTCCTTGGTTCTATGAAGTTCGAGGTGAAGTTTCTTGAGCTGGGGGAGGGAGGCAGTCGAAGCGCAGAGGTCTAAGGAAAACCGACGGGTAGCGTCTGGAGCTCCCCACATCCCGGTTGCTAACGTGGCTCTCGGTGCTCAGAGCGAAGCGCTGTCCAAGAACACCTCCTGGAAAGAGCCGAAACGCGGGTGGGGGCTTGATCTTCGTGGCCACCAACCTGATTTTGCTACTTCAAGAGCCCCGGTTGGCAGGAGCCACGATTTCTCGAAGCCCACACAGACTTACAGGCGACACGTGACCGCGTGCTGCAACACAAGTCCCGTCAGTACCGCACACATCTAACCTTCCGACTCCTTCGACAACAACCTTGTTTCTGGACCGCGTTCTCATCACTTCCGGCACAGAATAAGGCCAATCGTCGTACCTCGTAGCGCAAGACCCACCGTCTGGGATGGTACGGCAGCCAATCTAGTTACCTTTTCCGCCGGTGTCTCGTATACATACTGCACAATTTTGTCCAATCATTCCCGGGACGTCTTCCTAGTCCCACCTCAGATCTGTTACGGAAGCCGTCAGGCCGCCGGCGCCCTTTCACCCCGGGATCGCATTTCCTCCTCGACGTGACGTGAGCGGCCCCTGCTGCTCTGCTGGGCGGGCCAATGGCGGTGGCGGATACGGCGAGCCAATGGGCGGGAGCCTCTCATGCGGCCGGCGCCCGCCGCAGCCGCCGCTGGGTCCTGGAGCCAGAGGCCGCCCGCGACAGAGCGCTATGGACCGAGGGCCTCAGCCGGGGAGGCGCCGCGGCGGAGTCCGCGGCCAGACTCACCCACAGTAGCGTCCGCTCGAACGCCGGTGTCCCGCGTGAGCTTTTGCGCACTGAGGGCGGGCTTGCATCCCGTCGGTCCGGCACTCACCGCAGCCCACAGCCCGTGAGCCACCGTCGCCTTCCCGCCCGGGCCGCGCGGCCCGGGAAACGCGGCCGCGGGCTGCATGGGCAGCGCCCGCGCCCCGCCGCCGTTCCGCCGCGGAGCCGCGTCGCCCTCGAAGCCGGGTGAGACGCGCCGCAAACCTGGGACTAGTGGTCGGGGCGGGCGCCGGGCGTTCCCGCGGCCTTGCGGCCTGCAGGCCTCCTCCACTGCCCGACTCCGCGGGTGCTCCTGGGCGGGCCGGGCTCCGGGAGAGGCTGGTCGGTGGGCCGCGGGGGTCCTGAGAACGGCCATGAGGGGCTGAGGGCGGGCTCCGAAGCGAGCTTCGGGCGTCCCAGGGGTCGGTCGGCCGTGAGGGTACTGAGGGAGGGCTCCGCGGCGGGCCGGGGTGGCTGTGAAGCTCGAGGGCGGGCCTCGGTTGAGGGGCGATGGTGGGTCAGTGGGTCTTGAGTCTCTGTGAGGACGACGGCGGGTTCCCGGGGGTCCCTGGGGTCTGCAGTGGTGTGGGGCGCCGACCTCTGACCCTCGGGAGGGGCCCCGTCGCTGGGCTGGTGGTAGTTGTTATTCCCAGCGTCCCTATTATTATCGTGTTTTGAAATGGGAGCAGGCGGCCCTCGGGCTGCGAGCCGAGCCGGAGGGGGCGGGCGAGCCGGGGACCTGGAGCTGCGGGGTGCGGAGGCGCGCAGGCCCGAGTGGGGGCAGGAATGCGGGGTGGCGGGGGGCGTCTGGGGGAGGGGAAGGCGGGACTGGGGGCGAGTGGGAGGAAAGCTGTGTAGGCGACGGCTGCAGCAGCAGCCCTTGGCCTCAAGGAACAATGTGAGACGTTGCTTGAAATGTTAATTTCCGTTCCTCATTTCATCATCCCCTGGCAAGGCGGTAGCTGTGAGTGTGAGTGCGGGTGTGTATGTGCGCGCGCGCGCGCGTGTGTACGTGTGTGCAGGGTTGGCCTTGCCACATGGATCCAGTCCCCTCACAGACGGATGTGCGGTTCAGTTCCTATGTATGTGGCTTGGTGTGTAGTCTGATTTTTTACTGAGGCCTTGTCTTGACCTGGTGTTCCAGTAGGGTTTTCTTTTTGTTGTGTTTCTGGAAAGCTTGTCTAGCATAACTGCTTACAGGGGTTTTGGAAGTCTTGTGAAGGTTAATCTGGTCCTTAGTAAGGCTCTATGCGCTGAAATCTCCTGGTTATATGTGTGTTTTATGTGTCTAGTGTTTCATAGTAGTTACTGCAGTCATGGAAGATTTACATCCACTTGAGAACAGTGTAATTTTACAAATTTTCTGATAGAAAAATCAGGTTCTGTGGTCTTTTGGACACATCCCTAACATTCCAGTAAACTGAATAAAAGTACACAATTGTGAACGTAAAAACTTACTTAGGTTATTGGGTCCTTAGGGGATGAGGAGACTTATTCAGCAAAACGTAGGTGACCCGGGTTGTGGAAAAAGCTATCGAAATAGTTAACTGTGTTAGGTGTGTGGGATCCCAGTTTGGTATAACTTGGATAGTTCCACGGCAGTCTCCAAGAGTGTTACTTGCTTGCCCCGAAACCTTACTCTTGTACATTGGTTGCCTTGAAGATCTAGAGTTCTGTTTATGTATTTTGAAATGATTACACAAATACTCTGATGTCACTTTGCAGCTATACATAAACGGAAAAATGCCTTGCTTAACTTTGATTGTGACCCTTGGATTGGATCTCCATATAGCTGATGTTTCCTCCCCCACACTCCATTCAGCTGTTGTTCTCTTTTCTGTAGTTTCACGCTTAAGAGCAGGATCTCATGTGATAGGCTGGCCATCCTGAATGGAATGGGATGGGGGGAACAAAGGCCAAGTTGCTATGACATTTTTCTCTTCTTTGTGCTTGCCTCTTGCTTTTCCTTGAAAAGCAACCTAAAAGATATTGCTAAATTTGACCTCAGCTTGATTCTTTAGGAGTATTTATTTTTATTTTCCTCTCTTTTTCTTTTTGTGTGGTAAACAATGTACAACACAATTTACCAGACATTCTAAAGTATCACCTAGTTTTGAATTCCTCATTTACAGTTCTAACTTTCTACCAGCCAACTTGCATTTTTCTGTTAGATGCTTTTCTGTAAACTAGCCTTGTTAATCATGCAGGGCTATCAGAGTTTTTCATCTCACTAAACCAGATGGGCTACTGATGACTAGTGGCTGTCATGTTAGCTATAATTACAATGTTGATTTAGTGACAAGAATTTTCTACAAATAGAGCTAAAGAAACTATGCTGTTTGAGTTTAAGAATATTTTTCTAGAACCTTTGTGTGTGGATACCTAAGTGAGTTTGACATGGTAAAATTATGTTCATCAAATATAAGAGGAGGGTTATTTTTGCATATTGGCAGTGAGCCCATCATCAATTAAATAACATAATTAGAAAGCATCAGTAAATGCTGGTTCAGAGCATAATCTGCATTTGTTGCCAAAATAAGTGTTTTGATCTGTCCATTACCCCATGTAAGTCCCTTCATCCCTCAAATGGTAAGTGTAATGGATGAGCTTCTCTTAATAGCAAGATATTTGCTAGTTAATAGGTGAAAATGATGATGCATTGCATGTCTGACCGCATGCTGTGACAGTTTATTACTGCTGTTTAGGCAGTGCTCTGAGACTGAACATGGCTCTTGTGGTAACTTTAAACAAAAATCGAATGAACTCAAATAACTAGGAGTTATTGTCTTGAAATGTTTAGAGTATGTGTTCTCATTTGAATTTCAAATGGAATTTCTATCCAATTCAGCTTTCTCAGTTTTGTCTTAAAGCTATATGAAAGAGGGTGTCAGTCATCAGCTCCAGAACTCAGGCAGTTGGATAATTGGCATGGAAAGCCTTTTTAGGCTTAGGAAATAATCTGCTTTAATGACTACTTCATTAATTCCTATAGATATTTTTATTCTTAAGTGACTTGTTTGTTTGATGGATATTTGTGGTATCTCTTAAAGTAGAATTTAGCTTTGTGTTTGAGTGGCTGTTTTTGTTATTCTGTATTTTTAAAATATCATTTAATTATCCTGTCCAATAAATTTTCCTTGTAGTTAATTTTTAAACACAAACACAATTCAATTTTTTTTATAGTTTCAAGTAGTCCATGCTATCATTGAACTCCTTATGTAGTAGAAGACAACCTTGGAATTCTGAGTCTCCTCTTAACTACCACCCAGTGCTAGGATAGTATAAGCATGTGGTACCACCCAAGGCTTCTTGAATACTAGGCAAGAGTTGTACCAATTGAGTTACATATCTGATCCCTCAAACAACGACAGAAACAGAGACAGAGAATTTTATTTATCTCTTAAATTTATTATATATACACATATATATGTATAAATGCATTGGTGTTTTGCCTTCATGTATGACTGTGTGAGTCTGTCAGATCCCCTGGAACTGGAGTCACAGACAGCTGTGAGCTGCCATGTGGGTGCTGGGAATTGAACCTGGGTCCTCTGAAGGGCTGTCAGTGCTCTTAACTGCTGAGCCATCTCTCCAGCCCCCATGTGTGTATTTTTTTTTTTTTTTTTTTTTTTTTGGTTTTTCGAGACAAGGTTTCTCTGTATTGTTTTGGAGGCTGTCCTGGAACTTGTTCTGAAGACCAGGCTGGCCTCGAACTCACAGAGATCCACCTGCCTCTGCCTCCCGAGTGCTGGGATTAAAGGCGTGCGCCACCAACGTCCGGCCCCCATGTGTGTATTTTAAATATGATTGAAGTTGGGTCTGTGCTTGCTGCCAAGTCTGATGACCAGACTTTGATACCCAGATTCTACATGGTAGAGAGAACTGATTCCTTCAAGTTGTCCTATGAGTTTTGCATGTATCCAGTGGCACAGGACCCCCCCCCAAAAAGCAAAACAACCCAAACCAAACACAAAACAGCAATAACAAAGAAGATACAACCTAACTTTGATTCTGCTGAGATTCTTGGTCCTGTCACTCTTTAAAAGAATGAGTACCCAGGTAGTTGGTCGCTCATGCCTTTAATCATCAGGACTCGAGGCAGAGGCAGGCAGATATCTCTGTGAGTTCAAGGGCAACCTGGTCTACAAAGCTACACAGAAAACCCTGTCTTGAAAAAAACAAGAAGAATGAGTACCATGGCCTTTTGTTTTCTAGATTGGATCTCATACTTTATACTTGGGGTTTGACATACTGCTTGTCTGCTGAGTGTCCTCCTGGCTTCTCATACTCCTTCCTCTTCCTTTGGGTTTTAGTTCAGTATTACTTCCTCTTAATACAATTTCTTCCTTTCCCCTCCCTCCCTTTCTTTGTTTAAGACAAGGTCTCATATATATCCATATTAGCTCTGTGTGGTTGAGAATGACCTTGAATTTCTGATCTTTCTATACCTAGTATACTAGAGTAACTGGTATACACTGTCATACTCTGTTTAATCCATGCTTGGGATTCAGCTCAGGGCTGCTTGCAAGCTATAGAAACAGTTTCCTGATTGAACTATATTTCTAGGCCCTCCCACTCTAGATCCTTCACCCCCCCAGGGTTTCTCTGTGTAGCTCTGGCTGTCTGGCTGTTGTCCTGGAACTCACAGGGATTAAAGGTTCGTGCCACCATCGCACAATGTCCCCTTCTTTTTTAGACAGGGTCCTTTTTTTTTTTTCCTTTTAAACCTTTGAGACACGGTTTCTCTGTGTAAGTCCAGGCTGTCCTGGAATTCCCTCTGTGTAGATCAGACTGGCCTTGAACTCAGAGATAT